CATTGCAAAATTTGAACCCTACCTTACCTGAATTTTTAGCTAAGTTTTAGCATATGGCATGACTGAACTCGGAGGCTTATGCACGTTGTCTCCTTATGAGTTCGACAAGATTGAGAGCGTTGGAGCACCGCTCCCCGGGATGCTCTTCAAGGCAAGTTTTTCCATATTAGCTATTGGTCTTCATCCCAAAACTGCAAGAAATGATTTGATCTCCTCAGATAAGTTGGCACGAGTACGCATGAAGACGGTTTGATCGGGTTCTCCATCTAGCATTTTGACCCCCCTAATGCCAAAAAACACTCCAGGGTCCTTATGAAAGGCAGTTTCATGAATACAGTTATCAAATTTGGTGTGAAAACTCGGGCCTTGTTATCACAGGCAGTGGCGTCAAAACAGGCCTCTGGCGCTAGCGCGTCTAAGGAGCGAACCGTTTTCGTATGGCGTTTATTTTTCCCCGGGACGAGTTCTGTAAAGCGTTGAGCTCAAGTGGGGCGCGAAAAGTTAAACAGTGCCAAAGTTGATGATAGAGTGTATATGAATGCAGTAGTGCCGAAAATGTCACTATAATAGTGTTCCCTGATAATGTTAAAAGAAAAGCTTGAAATTTCCGTTGAAAGGTTTTAGACGCAGCCATTTAAAAAGCTCTATCAACTGCTTGATCCCGGTTTTCCACTAAAGCTATTCATGGTCCCAACGTCATCGGAGTGAAATCCTTGGGCGAATCAGGAGGCTAATGTGATAATGGTGTGGCTCCTCAGCTGCCCTACAATTCCGTTCAGGGCACATCGTTGTTGGGATTTCTCAACAAGGGAGGGGGGTCGCATTTGGGAAAAAGGATAAAGGAGAAAGGAAAAAAAGGAGAAAGGAAATTCGCTTTTATAATTGATTTTTCTTGTTCCAGGGACGTTGTAATGGGAGGGGTGGAATCGTATTTCCTTTGCGACCTTCTGAGAGAGAGAGGTCGCCAACTTTTTGTGGCTTTCCTGTTTCATGTGTACTATATACCCCTTCCCCCAGGCTCGACAGCAAAATTTTCGGGAAATTCCAGAAAAAGTGGTACGAAGGTAGGGGAAACTAGGAACTGGCAGATGGGAAGGGGTCGCGCTCGAGAGTTCGATGAGGAGGGAACCAGGGGTAGGGGAGGGGTCGTACGGACTCGACAAAAATCATTAACCAATGATGTGCCCTGATTCCATTTTCCATCTAGTGGATGCTGGTTTTGTTGGGATCATTACCCGTGCAAACGAAAGGGCGTGGATTGGGACGCAGCCAGGACAGCCTTTTCCAGTGATTATTGCAGGCTCAGGATGGCGCCATTGGTTGGGGAAAAAACTGCTTTGGCTGCGTTCCAGTCCACCCCTCTTCACACGCCTCATCTTTCACAGGGATCCTGACGCTACCCTCCCTTGCTTGACTACTCACTCGAGCAAGAACAAGTGCAGACGCGTGGAATACCTTCCAATAGTGCAGATTCCGACCACTTTCGAATGCTTTGAGGGCTTTTAGTATACATCGTGACTTCATCGCCTCTTTAATTGACGCTATACTTCTTTTCAGATCGTTAGCTGGGAAACTAAACAGCTTTGTCCTCCTAGAACCCCTGGACAGCTAATGATAATTGGACCGCAAGTTATTCCATGTTACTATAAAAATCCCAAAGCGACAGCAGAAATACTTGACTCGAGCGGTTATGTAAAAACAGGTGCTGAATCATTTTAATAGTCACCTTTTCAAAATTTTAATTTACAATCGCACAGGTGACGCCGCGTTTTATGACGAATCCGGTAACATTTATGTGTTGGATCGCATGAAGGACATCATCAAATACAAGGGAACCTTGGTCAGTTGCCAAATTAACTACAACTTACTGTATACGCTCATTTCAACTATTTGTCTACCACGAAATTCGAATCATTTCGTTGTGGAACCGATCCACTTGAATTATTTTATTAAAGGTGTTGTAGCGCGTATCATTCATAGCTACGTTGGTAACAGTGGAAAGGATTTGCCCACTTTTAACTGATATCGTCACCATCAGTGATCAGTGAGGGCGGTAGGCGCGAAATGAGCTCGCCCTCGACTGCGTTTCCACCAATGGGATGACGACGGTTTGTGATCAATTAGAGAGGAAAATAACCAGTCATAGAAAACGCCACGGATGGGCTTGTTCCATGCTTCCCGGCACCGCCTAATTACGACGATATCAGCTCTATTTACTTGTGAATGTGCCAGCGGCTGTACATTTGTGCACAGTTGTCAGTACAGGCACAGAGTCAGGCATAACCTGCTCCTGCGATGACTGTGCTCTCTAATGCCACACGAGCTGCACCTTTGATTGAGCCCTCAGAGCTTAGTCTTGAGTCTCCACATCTTTGGAATATCTACTGTACACTAGTTATCCCGGAAATGGGGTGGGCGTGGTTGTGTACTTCGCTGGAACAGGGCGCAGCTGCGCTTTTGGGGCGATATTGCCGTCTTGTTACAACTGTAATCAAGCTCTTGTCTAGATCAAGACAGGATGACAGTTGTCTTGAATTCGAATGTCTCGTGGAAGCCACATTCTAAGGGTACAGATGGAGTACGCAATCACGCCCTCTCTATTCTTGGGATATGGGGGAGAATATGTGGGATCAGCACGGTAAATCCAATTTTCAAAGAATCACATAGATGGAATGGAAATCATATAGAGGATATTCATAAGAGTTCGTCTACTTTTAATATTTTCGGTTTCAGGTTTGTCCATCAGAAGTAGAGCTAACGCTCAGAGTTCATCCAGGAATCGATGATTGTGCTGTTGTCGGGAGGCAGGATCATGTTTCCGGAGAGGTATTCTGAGAAAATATCAAATTTTTCGCCTGAGTACCTGAATTTTACTCAACTTACTCATAAAGTTGTAACATTTCATTATTTGTGTTTCACCAGCAGGTGCCTGCCGCATTCGTTGTAAAGAACCCATCGCACCAACTGCTCTCGTCAGCTGAGGTTCGACAGTATGTTTCAGGTGAGATGGTAATGTGAAAAGCTCTGTTAACGGTAATAATCGATAATTTCAGGAAAAATCCCAACATTCAAAGAACTTCGAGGCGGAGTATTTTTCATAACGGAAATTCCGCGAAGTGTATGTGGAAAAGTTATCCGCAGACAATTGCGACAGTTCTGGGACAGAGAAAGAACGAATTCAAAGGTGTGGTGTTTCAAAAAGGAATTTTTTAATGTTTCATTTACTAAGATCGTATTCAGGATGTTATTTCAAAGGACGGTAAACCAGCGAAATTGCTTGACAGGAGTGAAAAAGTTACCAGTAAGAAGACCAACGGCACGACAACCCCAACAAAAAAGCCGCCTAGTCGGCCTCAGAAGAAGTAGAACTTTCTAAATAGTGATTGATCACAGATATTCCAGTTTTTCCGTTGCATCTGACCAAGTCAGCCAAAAGTAAACCCTGACTGTATACCCTGCTTTACTGTACATGTTACAAGATGATGTCACCATAATATTTACAATATTTGTTTGTAGTGCTTAAATACCCAAAGCCGCGAGGTATCTTAAAGGCAGTGGGCACGCTTGCTGCGGGAGGCGGTTGCTCGAGCGATTGCCATTGTCACTGGTGGAAGGGCTCGAGGGGACGTTTGACCACACCCCATTCAGCCCTTCCTCCAGTAACGTTGGCGACAACTGCCCGCCCTCACCGATCGTGCCCGCTGCCTTTAAGGGCAATAACGTCATAGACGTACGCCCTTTGTCTTAGTTAGCATGTATACATTCACCCATGCGTTCACCCCGTCCTGAGCCAAAAACTTTCAGGGTATGTGCGTAATTTGAAGCATTTGAGGAGATGCGTAGTCTGTACCGATTTTCCTATATATTCATCTCTGCTTGAAACACCCTTAGCTTCACTTCAGTGCTAGATTTTTGCCTGTCCAGCTTTAACTGTTGCAACTGCGTTCATCTTTCTTCGCTTTTATTACCAAGGAATGAAAACTCGTTGTGAACGTAATGTCTCATTGACGGTGCTGGAAC